GAAAATAACACGTTAAATAAATATTGACCAATAAGATGATACCATTTCATGTCCAAGGATAGCATTAGGCTTAACAGGATAATTTTTGGAATATTTTCCTGAATATCCCAACAATTGTAATAATTGATCACCGTTGATAAATACCCAGAAAATACTTGTTTCCAACTACTGACTCTTCTGCAATTTGTTCTATTTTTCTATCTGTTAATTCAATACTAACTTTATATTATCTTATTTTTTTACATTTGAGTTTTGGGATGGAAATACCGAAAATCCATTGACGATACTTCGACAATCCATGTATTATTCGTCATCTTCCAGTACTATCAACGTCATTTACTTGTTGTTTTCATAATTCATCCATATTTCTCAAATAAGTCTTAGCGGATATTTTAAAAAGTTTGCCTAAATAAAAAGCCTTTCTGTAAATTTTGTTAATTCTTTAACTAAGATTTGTCTCTGTGAGGATATTTCATCATCATCAACAATGATATGTCAACTTTTGAAGCTTTATCAGAATAAATATTGTAAAGGATTTCTCCGCACTTATATATTTCATTCCCCATTTCTTTTCCTTTTTTTTTTAAATGAGAAAATAAATTTTGAAAAGTACTGAAAAGATTTGATGTTACACTTTTACAATTATTTATAAATTTATTATCGGTGTTGGTTACAGGAAAATTTATAGTTGGTTTCATTTTGTTAAGAGATTTCTAGACAAATACCCTATTTTTGTCTCCTATACGCAAACACAAAAACATTTACATATACATAGGTAGAAGTTAATATTTATCTTGATTACTAACTCATTATATTTTTACTTGTAAATGACCGTTTTTCTGACTCTTTCTCCTATACGTCAATCTACTTTTCTGACCTTTCTTTTAATTCAAAACTCAGATGAATTCACTCTAGTTCTCATTCTTTTCTCTCCCTTTCTTTTCGCTCTCGTTCTTCTCTTTTTCTCTCTTTATCGTCGTTTTCTTCTTTCAACTTGGAACTGTGAACACCAAAAAACAATTAACCAATCAGAAGATGAAAAGTAAGTTAATTTTATGGAAAACTGAAATTACTTAATTTATTGCTGTGAGTCTTATGTGGCTTTTTTTTTTAAAATACTGAAAAGAATAAATAAAATTAGCTACATATATATAGAGGGCGAAAATATTTTACAGTACGAATTCTTGTCATCTAAACACTTGTCAGCCATTCCATAACTACAAAGTGAGTTACCGGAATTTTTTATTCATAATAAAACAAATACCTATCACAAATAAGAAGTATATTTTATGCAAATATGTAGTGTTAAATATTTATAAATATTGACTAGCTTCGGTAGTGCTAACAGATTTGATAAATTTTCATGTATCATTAAAGATTTTTATGCCAGAAAGTGACCGTTTTCCAGGTCTCCATGTTTTCCTAAGATCTTCAATTGAACAGGGCCAACAATTGATGAGAAATAATATGAATTCCTTTTATTTCGTGATTGCTTATCAGCTGCTATCAACATTATTTTTAGTTTCAAAGTTAAATTTAAATACAAATGCGTTAATAAGAAGCTAAAGACAGACCAATAAATAAAAAGAGTTTCCATTATTCTGTATTCATTATTGTTACTACTCTATTTAAATTTATAAAAACAAGTAACTTCATGAAATGTCCAAGAATTTTTAGCTATTAATTATCAGTTTAGTGATAGATTCATATTCAAAATAATGAACCTTAGATTACATTTAATATAGCTTTTAATCATTCTAACTTCACAGATTACCGTGTTAAGTAGTCAAATTATTTACTTACATTCTTAGCCTTTCTTCATCGTAACTGTCATTTTCCTGATATGTGTTAACAAATAGTCATAATCTAACCCATGGTGACAGATTCTGTTATTGATATATAGTTGATAATTAAGTCTGTGGCCATTGAGGAAACACGTCTGACACTTGTTTAAGCCAATCATTGACAAGACGCTTAAAAGTAAAGCAAAGTAAAATTCTTGGCTTGTCTTGACAGAAGCGTCTTTTCTTAAATTTAATCGTCACTAACAGGATACATGGCATAAACTTTTAATCTTGCATCTCAAATATCAACAACATCTTGAAAGACTATGCATTGAAGTTCAAAAGATGATAATCTGTGTCTTTAGGGGCTTTGGTGTGAAAATATTTTTCTAAGGACAGTATCAATTCTGAATTGGAAGTAAATGCTTACAAAAGATTGAGTGAACTTTAAAATAACAGAGAAGATTTTAAGCTTAGATGAGTTTTTTGTGCTGTATTCTCTAGGCTATGTGGATTACTCGTGAAGCATACACTGTAGTTTTGGACAATATAATCAGCGCTTACTCCACTTAGAACGCGATGTTTCAACTCTTCTTCGAGGATTAAATCAATTTATTTTGATTCTTTTGTGTGTGTTTGATTGTTTTCGTAAATTTTATTTCATTGACTTGTCCTGGCATTTCTGTTGATTGTCTTGCTCCGTCGACCTCTGACAATGTGAATGATGGACCATTTACATACTGATTGGTAGACTGAATTTGTCCCGATGTATTTATTCATTACCGATTAATCTTAATAAAATGGTTCTAGAAATTTTCTGATGACGAAATCTCAGTTAAACCATCTACCTCAGAGATTACAAGACCATTGTATTAATTAAAAGGTTTTACAGACGGTTTTGAGCGGAACTTTTCGAAAGATAGCAAGCATAATATAAAATAAATTGTTTCAAAATTTACGTTATACTTTAACGATCCACTATGTAAAATAATTTGTAAATGGCCGTTAAAGTAAGCTTATTTTAAAGTGAATGATTAGAATATTAAAGTAAACATGAGCACAAGTCAGAATCAAACTGATAAGTGATTTTTTAAACCTTACCTAGTCGATTTATGTTTGATAACGTCAATCTATATTAGATTTTCAGAATTTAATTTCAAAATCTATATTTTGGGTGAATAGTACGTCCACTGATTTTTAACGTGAAATAGTGTGAGGTTCCTAAGTGTTAAAGGTTGAGATTTTTTTAATGCATTCTATTTATTGGCACATATCATGTTTCCCGCAACTAAACGATGATCAAATGTTCGGTTAGCCGTTTGGTGTTGTATTATTTAGAGAAAATTAACTGGTACTAATATATAAAAGATTCTACGTAAAACATACAACAGGTTGTAGTCTTTTTGATAAGAAGTATAACCGAAATTAGCAACCAAGTCATTCTATGCTTTTTAATAGCAGTTAAATGGATTTCCCATCATTCATGATGCACTCGTACGGTGGATATCAGTTGGGTTAGATGACTACATTAACGATTCGAAACATAACTGTAAGCTTCATTTTATATTGAAATAAACGGAGAAATCGATTTACGTTTTTTAAAGTTAGCACTTAACTGATGATAAGTAAGATGATTTTGTGGAGATTTTTGTAAATTTCAAGGGTAGTTTTCGTCATGATCAGACATCAGTTAAAGGAGCATCATTTCTTAAATTCCTAATATCTTTCGGATGTGAAAAGTTGTAACAGAGTGACGACCAACATTCATAATTCAGTGTTTTTGTATCATGAACTAAGATTTAATTTTAATTAGATGTTTTATTTGACTTTGTGAATCGAATAATTCTTAACTGATTCTACCGTTTCATAGTAAACATAGTCGATTAATGATAAAATACTAGTTAACTGATAAATGCGGAATAACTGGTGAAGATTGAATGTTAATTACTTAAAATAACTGCGTTGTACAACTTGTTCACATTCACATACATGCTTTGAGTTAGTAAAAGAGGATTCATCAAAAAACATAAACGTCTGGTTATGTTATTGAGAAAATCTCTATGATCTTTTTTTATTTAATTATTTTTGAACTGGATAAGTCAGTGTTGTAATCAAATTTATAGTTTCTTGTAGACAACTAACTGTTTTTGATAAGACGTTTTGTTCATAACCATACAAAGAATTTTTTAATTGCAGCCTAACAATACAATCTTGTTAAATTATGTGAACCAGATAGGATGCATGCTGTGATATTGTTCGGCAATTTAATTATTCATTCATACAGTAAAGAAAATAGAGGAAGTTTATCATTAGCTTTCATCATTTTCATCATATGTTGCTCATCAATATCCTTTATTGTTGTGTTGTGGGTGGGAAACAGTTACTCAATGAAGATAATCCAAGGTGATTGCGTAATATCGTGGATTGATAGAAGTTAGACATTATCACCGTTGGATGTTGGCTCAATGGTATAGAAGTCAAGTGTTCACGCATAATACTGAAATTCATGGATTCGGCTTCGGTGTGCGATATCCGAGAATCTCGCAGTTAAGGAGTTTCATACTGGAGCGAAACGAGCTTACAGTGATTCCAGGTTTTCAATGGTTATCTAACATTGAATAATTCGAGATTTCATTGAAATTCAACAATCTCCACAAACCCATACTGAAAACTAGTAATTTTCTTTGATTAAAATGAATAAAGCTTCTCACATATTAAAGATTAAAAAATCTGGATAATTCGTAAAAATAAAACGTCTGAATATTACAGATATTAAGGATAACACAGCTCTTATATTGTTGTAGATAAATCATTCATGTATATGTCCCACAAAAGATGAAATACAGTCAAGCAATACTTACTACCAAGTAAACACTGGATTCATAATACTACAGTACAATATCATCCGTCTATTCGATTAAATTACTTTGTTATCATGTATAAGGGTATCTTTTTAATTATTATTTAGCGGTGATATGTTTTTAGTGAGTCAAACCATTACTAAATATATTCATCATCAAAGTATAATTCATAAATACTTTTTGATTATGCAAGCCACTAGAAAGGATACTGAAACTGTGTAAAATTTACAGCTAATTACATTTTGAATCCCATTTGATCTCCATTTATTTACCAACTTCCTTTATATTCCTTATTTTGTGTCATTGTTTTTTTTAAATTTCAGGTACTACATAGTGGAATTTCTTCAGAGCTATCATGGATTTAAAAGTATACAGTTCACAATTTCATCTAAGCGATATTTTATATGGTTTCAGGTCATCAGGTAATCAAGAAATTGATTCAGACTATAATCTTAATTACATAAAGAAGCATAATAATCATAGTGAAAGCGCTATGAAAAAAGAATTGAAGAAAGCTCAAGAACTACAAAATTCAAATTGTACATCAGACATGGATCAATGTGAAGTAGAAAGGCGTTTATATGAAACTGAGACCAATAAAATTGATGATAACTTGAATAGTTTAAACAAACCAAATTCCTCACTTACATCTAATCAGTATAATAGTATTGACAACCATAACTATTATAATGCATCAACATCGTCGTTTAATGCGAAAATAAGTTACACTAGTGAAGAATCTATAAATAATTTACCAAATGCGAAATCAAAGGATCATCAGCGTCATCTTTGTAATAATAATTTATATACAATACAACTTAGAGATCAACCTCTAGTTTGCTTAAATATGGGTGGTGTTAAACGCTTGTGTTTAGCACAAATTTCATCCACACTGTTAAAACAATATTCATATAATGAAATACATAACAGACGTGTTGCATTAGGTATTACATGCGTTCAGTGTACACCAAGCCAACTAGAGTTATTAAGGGAAGCTGGTGCGATGCCTGCATCATCAAGACGCTGCGGTACAATTACGTATAGAGAAGCTGAAAGATTGGTCAAATCGTTTTTAGATGAACCACAACATCCTAAACTACCAGAAAATTTTATATTTCAAGTGGTACATCATTGTGGATGGGGATGCCAAGGTTCTTTTTCACCGTCAAGATATACTAGTTCCAGAGCTAAATGTATACGTTGTTACATTTGTCAAGTGAGTTATTTAAAATGAAACTTACTTTATTCTTTTCCTAAATTTCGACTGCAAAGCTTTTTGAGACGGTTTACATATTAGGCACTTCATTTAACATCAGATCATATATCTCACTATCTAAGCAATATGTAAACGACTATTGTCAACTGACACATCCAGATATTTTATTCTATCTTAAAAGACCTCTTTGACTAAGTATTGTAACAAATGGCTTGGGTTTAAATCCCCCAAAACGGGATACTTATGATTATTATTGATGTTGGAAACTAATTTAAGTAGAATTTTAGTAAGCTTCGGAATTCAAAGTACTTTTTCTTGATTCAGTTAAAGTATGTACGTTATTACTAATTTGGTTGGTCGAATAAACTTATAATTAGGCATCTTTTTGAGAATATCCTAAAACTAAGAGATCGTACAAGGAGATTTTACCTTTACACTGAACAGAAACTCCCACCATATTATCACCTCACTGGGTATAAGTCTAAACTTCATAGAAGTCAGTACTAGTTAGGTCGATTTTCAGATCTAAAGGCTATGTGATTAAAGTAATTTTTTCTAATAAATCAGATGGTGAAAAAATGACTGGTTTATGTATTCACTTGAGCACATTAAGATAAATAAGCTTTTGAATTCAAAGCTTTGTCAGTTACTATTGTTAAATATATTATTTTGTATGGACAGATCATCCTATTTCAGAAGATACAAACGCTTACTGTGATTTAGCTTAACTTCCGTTCTCCTCTATTTGTAAAAAAATCTTTCGAATGAAGATTTCTGACAACAGGCGGTCTTGGAATCTTGGAAATTACTCCTTTTCATTGCAAACTTTCCAGAAAATAGTTCTGTGTTTATTTGAAATTCTAGTCAATACTACTTTACTCAAAAAAGAACCAAACTGGTTACTAAGGTTAAATTAAGTATATCACAAGAAATAGAGAATGTTTGGACGAGCTGTTGTTTGCAATAACCTTGACTCAAACTTCTGAGGAACATGGTAAACAAAGAAGCTGAGTATTCCGCTTTGCTTCACAAATATGTTTGATTCCTTTGAGTTGATCTTAATGGCTTTCGTTGCGTAGACAAGATGTAATATTTCGCCTTTTGGTATATTATTTGGAATCTGATGTAACCAAAGGAAAACTTTTATATATCTTGAGTCTATAATTCCTACTCATCATAGGAATAGTGATGAAAGCATTTGTATACTTGATGTTTGAATTTCTTAGCCAGAAAGACATGTTTGGGAGCATCTAAGTATAGCAACCCATGAGTTCTGCTCTAGGTGCATCATAATGGAACACTGAATCTCAGCTTACTGCTCTAAAGATATATTGAAGTTCAGGTTATGTACTATGCCGGTTGGTGTGTACACACTGTGCCAGGAGATCATCAACCAGGATAAACAAGCTTTCTTAACTCACTTGCTTTCATTTCTATAAATGATATCAGTCATTTAAAGTCATTAAGTTAAGAAGTTTTCTTTCAGTCTTTAATTTATTTTGCATTTCACTTTGATGACATTCAGAGATGTTAGTAGACTTCCATGTTTTATTAAGGTACATTTTGTTGGATAGTTTAGTATAGAAATCCTTTTTTTTATTTTATAGAGTTATTTTTCACCAAATAAATTTATTTTTCATTGTCATTCACCAAAAACAAATGACAATGTTTCACTGAAAGCAATGTATCGTCATCCAGATGCGGCAAATTTCAATGCGTGGAGACGTCATTTATTTTTAATTGATCCTAATCCACCTCTTGAAGTTATTTATGCTTGGGAAGATGTTAAAGCTATGTTTAATGGTGGAAATCGTAAACGTTCCCCCATATTTCATATTAATCAGGCAATGTCATCACCTACTACCACAACTACTTCTACAAATAAACATAGAAGTATTGATGATTCAACATTTGTGGTAAATGGCTTAACTATAAGCAGCACCCACAGTCTGCTAAACGATTCGAATTCGAAACAGTATAGGTTGTATTCATGTACAACAAATTGGAGTGACAGTATTCACTCAAATAATGAAGCATCATCGTCGTCCTCATCATCACATGTATATGATTTAGGTAAATCAGTCAAAACACACATACAAACAGATGCTTCCGTACCAACGAAAAGGGCGAAAACAGACTTTATGATTGAAAATATGATGAAAAGTCAATCATTGAATAATACAAAAAAACGTCAAATTCATAAAAAATATGGGGAAAATCCAAGAGAAATACTCGAGGAATACCCCAAATTTATGCTTCATCTGGAAACTGATGTTCAAAATAATTACACTTCACAGAGTTCCGATATTCACCCTGAAAAAGATTTTGATAAGACGCATGATCATACATCTATTGACTCAAATGAGATTATAAATTTTAATCCGTCTAAGCATTTCATCAGAAATTCCAATACATTATCTACATGCGCTTCACTGGTACCTAATCAGTCATATATAGATGGAAATATGACAGGATATTTTCTAAATACATGGCCTTCAATATTCTTATTTAACCAACTGATGTATGGTCCACAATATTGTACTCAATTACAAGGATCCTCAGACTCCGCAATGTACACTCCATTTTCATCTGACTGTATTCTGAATTTAAATAATTTACAAAGAGGAACAAGTATAACTAATCAAATTGATACAAAAGTGACTAATGTTAATTTAATTAGTGGTATCACTGAAAAGTCCTCTTATGTAAGCCAAAAGGACTTATTTCAATCCTCACTAATCACTTCCATTTCAGCGTCACAATAGTCAAATTCAATGACGATTAATTGGAAAAAAATATCTTCATACTAACTAATACTATGATGTACATATAATTTCATTTCATTCTTATAACATTACCGATTAAACTAATTGCTGTACTTTTTATTTTAACATATTTATTGCACTTAAAATATTAATCGACATAAACTTGATTATGGTATTCACCGAATTTATTTTTCAAATTTTGTTTATCCATATGACTAAATAGATCAAATTACATCTCATCGTCTGAGAGTCCCAGAATGTGTACACTCACTTATTCAGTCAGTATATCCACATCATTTTTCAAATCTTTCGATAATATTAAAGTAACCACAATTTAATTAATTATTTGATTTAACCAATGACCTTTAAGTTCACTAAATATTTGATATCGAACCACTGAAGAAGAATATCCAGTGAATGAAATACAGAAGTTTAAATTATCAGAGAGCCATAGTGAAAGTTATTGTTGTCTGATTATTTAATAATTTGTTTGTTTGGTAGTTTGCTAATAAATAATTATCATTCTAATTAATACACTAAATTATAATTTATGTGAATAAAATACTAGTCAGGGCCATGAAACTATGATCAGTAGAGTCCAGTCATATTAGGAACGAAGCAGACAGCATCTATCCTAATGGATGATGGTCGAGCAAAATCTCGAATCGATTAAAGTTATAAGTGCAAATTATGAGATCCCGACTTGATGTTTTGAATGTAAATAGCTTATATCGACCCCATAAGTTTCTGAGTTTGATCCCTTTATAGACACTGTTGAGGAGTCTCATACCATGAACAGCTTTCTACCGCTATCCGGTTTTCAATAATTGTCTAGCTAAAGTCAGATCATAATGTAAATTATAAATTAAAATGGTTTCTTTACTGAACGATTATTCTTTCGCTTATACTAAATGATTTTATCACAAATGAATAAATATTATTGTTTCGAAGTCTATGAATTTTATTACACTAAAAAATTATGTTTCATTTAAAATCTAATTAATCATATTTGTCAGATATTAGTGTCCTGCTGAAAATCATAGCTATTTTTTAAGTGAGATTTAATTATTTTCAATTATCCTTCATCTATAGATCCATTGACTTATAGGAGCCACCAATTCCCGTATTGGATTCCTCAGTAGTCCCAACCCTTAAATACATATCAGATAAATATAGTATATTAAGGTCTTGTGACAATCACTATATTTCAACTTTAGAAAGCTCCACAACTTTTCTATTTCAAAAAATACTGACAAAATAATAATTAGAAAATAATGTATTTAAAATTTAATTTAACGAAGCGATCAGTATGAGATATTGAAAGTTATTCTACTATATAATATGAATATGAATTATAACGAATTTTGTTCCAGGTATAAAATAAATAGACCTAAGAATGTGTTGAATTCCATGAAAGATTAAACGTAATTTGGATAATACATACAGAACTATACGTCTTATGATGAAACTGCCTGCTTTTTATACTAGAAGTTGGCTTAAGTAAATATATACTGGTCATTTCATTGATAAGTGCATATATCAGTTTGGATGTGCATGAAAATGATTTAAGTAGCAAGATATTGTTATTCCACTTGAATTTACATTAGAAATGTTGGTGATTAATCTTGGTTTTCATTGACACTTAGACGTTGTCATTAACCCTATTTTTTGTTCTTTTACTGAGTAAAAGGGAAACAACTCACATTTTATCTCATTAGTTTTTTTCAGATAATGTAACATAATAAAATGATATCAAAAACTTCAGAACTATCAATCTGATTACTTATCGTAACTTCTTAAAATTTCTCTTGATCAAAACTGTACACTAATTTCGCATTTAAAATATTTTGTTGACTGTTGATGTGATATATGCAATCGAATGCACTAAATCAATCTAATTCTGGAGACATTTTTGTTCTTCGTTTGTTTATTTCATAAAAATTAAATTGACTGTTCAATTGCTAAAATAGTTCTGATTATTTGAACGCCAAGTTCATTCCTAATGTTGGAAGATATTCAATAAAATTCGTAGGTCAAATGATGTGATAAGAGAATTATTAATATCACTATAGGGTTTTGGAGATTGTTGCGTTTAGATTGATATCATGAACGGACCAATGCTAGACATTAACACCGTTGGATTACGGTTCAGTAGTATAGAGATTAAGCGTTCGCGTGCGAGACCGAAGGCTCTGTTTTCGAGTCCCGTGTGTGGGGTCGTGGGTGCACACTGCTGAGGAGTACTGTGCTAGGACGAAACGACCGTCCAGCGCTTCCAGGTTTTCAATGGTGGTTTGTCATTGGTCCATTCATGATAGCAATTTAAATTATCAATAATTTGACGACAATTTACAACACAGAGTAATACGAACAGTAACATTCTCAAAATTTCGGAGATATTATGAGACTGTTTCATTTCTTCGTTAGACTCTTCATCAATAGACCCTACCAACATAAATGTGTCGGTCATTGTTTAGTGAACGAAGGATAAGGTACGGTAGGTGAATTTATTCTCTCATTTTGCAAGGCACGATGGCTTCATAAATTATGAAAACCATGTATTAAATACATTATTTGGACATCTTCCTTTACATACTTCATTGTTCTTCCATTTATGTTATTAATTCAATTGCTCTCTGTTTTCCTTCCTATTCTCTTCGATTTGATCTTATGCTGGAAGGCACTCCACTTCTGATTGCTACTATATACTACTTATATCTGTCACATAAGTAGTATACACCACAATTGTGTCTTCAGGTATTAAGGAGAGTAGAATATCATGTAACCGGTAAATCGTAATACAGTGGTCCACGCATTTCAACCTCAAGTATTTCGTGAGACAGAGGAAGTATTACTAAAAACGGAGCAAAATAACTATTCACTGTTTTTCATGTTTGATTGTCTTTTAGTAAACGATAATCAGTTACCGAATGAATTTTAAAGAATGAAGCACAGCTCCTAATTTTTATTATGAAATTTCTGTTATTTCAAAAATAAAAAAACCATTGCAGTTCAATGTTTTTTTATTATTTATGAGTTAATGGTGTCTGAAGTCACGGGCACTTAAAACATTGTATTATCAGACTAAACACACAAGTGAACATATCTATTCAAGCATGAATAAATATACTTGGTCTGGTTTTCTTTAAGTAAACGAAGAAATTTGTATCCCTGAATACTTACAATTAAGATATATTACTATTCACTTTTACTAAATATCTACTTTACACATGAAAAAAACTAAATCGAAAAGAAATTTCAAGTGGTTGGTCATTGAAAGCTCACTATTGTTTGAATGTACTTTTTGTTTCTACGGTTATTATCACTTGAAAAAACTATTAACAGTTTACTATATTCTTATTTCAACTTATTTATAATTTTAGGTCCACTAGTTAGATGAAGTATTTGAAATCTATGAACTTGGAGCAACAAATGGACCATTGGAACTTCAGGTTTTACCAGGTGTAAATAGTACTGAGCGAAGACCTTTATTGTTTTCCTAATATGAATTTCATCGGTTCGATTAATACAGAGTGGATAATTATCTTTTTCAGGAAATAAAATCATATATATAAACTTGTCAACACATTTTTTGTTTTAAACTATTGAAATTTTATCCAAAAGTTTACAAAACTACTAATAATGTTGAGGGTTTAACATCGACATATTAAGAGATGTTAGTCTAAGTCTTCAAATGTTTGCACTAATTAATAGTGTATCAGTACGTTTAAACATGTTTTTCACGCCAAAAGACCTGAGTAACTTTAAATCTCAACCCCGAACGTTCATATAAACCTATTCAAGAATTCAGTTACTTCACACAGGAATATATTAAGCCAAGTGTTACAGACAGCATTACCCAGAGTTCTTGAGTATGAATTCTAAATTGAATCCCTCAGTATTCAATGCCACATAGTTAAAACTAATTCTAGAAAAGTCATGTGAACAGATCCTAGCTTCGCAGATATTATTTATGACTTTGAGTTTTAAAGGGTAGTACCAGTTTTTCTGACTAAAAGTACCCAGTGCTAAAGCGAGTAAACAAGCAGAAGATTCAGGGTAACAGCCTTAAGACTTTCACTACCCCTCACACCGAATCGCTTGATAAGGAGATTTATGGCAGTAATAATGACATTAATTATGTATCAGTGGTTGCTGCATGAAGATAATACTGGTTCAAACCGCACAAAACTTTAAATAAGGTGCACTTAGTTCGGAAACGATACTTCAAGAAAATTCACGAATCAATTATGAAATAACTAATTGTATTTAATAGTTTATTGTTCTTTGTAATTAAGAATAATATAAATAATGTAATTCAACCTCATTTAACTTCGCAGTATCTCCTGACCAAAGATCGAGTTCCACAATAAACCTAAAAAGTAGAAACTAATAAAAGTGAGAAATATTATTCGACTACACATTTATTTGGTTCACAAGGATTATTCCAACGGTGTCTTTAACCCATCTTACTCAATAAATTAAATGAACCTTTTGAAAAGGAAATTTTACATGACTTTCTAATGTGTGTTATTGCCACTTTCTTAGAAAACCTATCAAAGAACTTGACCTATAATTTTAACCTAAGAAGCAAGATAATCTGCTAAATATTTAAAGTAAGAATTCAGAGAAATAAATGTCCTTTGTTACATGAATGTGCATATATAAGTTTACTTTATATTGCGTGGTAGGTTATATTGGTCACACAAGGCAAACACTTTCTAAAAGTGTCTCAGAACCATACCCAGCGTGGTTTTCGAAAGGGCGATGCAAAACTATCACTAGATGATGAACCTAAGGCACATTGTTCAGAATCAATTGTGCTTTAAAGTACTCTATAAAGTGAAAAGAACTGGACCAAAGGGGGGTCGAATAAAAAAATTGTCCACTGCTAAGGCGTCGCATACCACCACTTGGAGACCGCAACATGAGTTCGATCTCTAATTCTTCCACAGCCTCACTTTCTTCCTCCAACATATTTCGATGTTATTGTTGTTATT